TAACCTTATTGTTGAAAATCTTACTCAAATTTGTACAAATCTCAGTTTCTCCATAGGATAAAATTCTAGATAAATAATCACTACATCTTGGAGAAGGAAATGGCAACCCACTCCAGTATTCTTGCCTGGAGAATTTCACGGACAGCGGAGTCTGGCAGGCTACAGTCCACGGGATCGCAAGAGTCGGACACAACTTAGTGACTAAACCACCACCACCACTGATCACTATATCTAAAGAAATGTGTACTCTTACGACTCATGACGTATGTAGTTAATTGTCCTCCATAAAAGTTGTTTCAGTTAACATTCACATAAGATGCTTGTGAATGGGCTTCTCTAATTTGTACCTTTGCTGGTACTCAGTATAAATTGATGCTTCATCGGAACACTGTCCCCTGACCCCTCCCTCCTTACCAACCCTTGTCTAAGTTAGAGCTCCCATTGCTTTCCTAATACTTTCAAGTATAGTATTCTTTGACACTGTAGTTTTTGACACTATATTTGACAAAGTATTTGACACTTTGATGCTATATTGTATTCTATGACAAGTCTGTGGGTTTTTCATAATCTTTATCATAATTGTAATTGTGTAGTTATATGACTGTTTCATGGTGGTCTCTCATCACTAGACTGAAAATTCCATAAGGGCAGTGATCATACCTAGTTTATTTACCCCTGTATATTCAGTGCTGAGTACAATGTGAAGTGTGTAGTATGTGTTCAGTACATATTTGTTGAGTGAATAAATGAGCATTATTGTAAAAATAACATTCCAATTTGGTAGGCAAATATCCATATCTGACTATTAATATCTGTTTATTAGAGGTTGAACTTTTATTCTGTTATTGGCTAGCTCATGTTAATTTTTTAAAATCAATTGCCTTTTCACATCTTTGTTCATTTTTCTGGGGAGTGTATCTTTTTTATTTAAAGCTCTTCTCTGCTTCTTCTTGGGTCCTGTAGGCTCCTATCTGAATATATATATATAGTGGGTTATTTTCCATCTTTATCCCCTTTTATAATCCTTTGTTCACTTGATTTATTGTCCATTTTTTTTCTGTTTGGTGTGTAGGCATCTGAGACTAGAGCGCTGTTGAAATCAGGGTCCCCTCTTGATTACTTTCTTCATGTCAATCACTGATTGCCTCTCACTCTTTTTTAAAATTTATTTTTGGCTGCACAGGCCTTTCTCCAGTTGTAGCAAGCAGACGCTACTCTCTATTGCAATGCTCAGGTTTCTTGTTGTAGTGGCTTCTCTTGTTGCTGAGCATGGGCTCTAGGGCTCGCGGGCTTCAGTAGCTGCCATTTCCGGGCTCTAGAGGACAGGCTCAATAGTTGGGGCACACAGGCTTACTTTCTACGAAGCATGTGGGGCCCTCCCAGATCAGGGATCAAATCTGTGTCTCCTGCATTGGTAGGCTAACTCTTCACCAGTGACCCACCAGGGAAGCCCGACCTCTACTCTTACTCCCTGGCCTCCCACATTGTAACTATTAACCTCTGCTTACAGATATTTCCAAGATAACCTGGACTTTACTAGATCTCCCTCACCCCATTCAGTATAAAGTCAACAGAATTTAGTCTTCTAGCTTGAGGCAAAAAACCATTTTTTTTTTCTTATCTTGAGATGCTTTCTCTTCTTAGCTAAGAGTCTGTCATTTTGACATCTTAACCCAAGCTCTCAAAAGGACCAGGTAGTAAGTATTTGAAACTTGTTGGGCCTAATGATCTGCACTATAACTACCGATCACTGCCCTCATAGTGCTAAAGCAACCTTGGACAGTATATGAATAGTGATATAGAAGTTGTGGTACATATACACAATGGAATACTACTCTGCCATAAAAAGGAACGCATTTGACTCAGTTCTAATGAGGTGGATGAACCTCGAGCTTATTATACAGAGATAAGTCAGAAAGAGAAAGACAAATATTGTATATTAATGCATATATGTGAAATCTAGAGAGACAGTACTGATGAACTTGTCTATAGAGCAGCAGTGGACACGCAGACGTAGAGGACAGACTTGTGAATACAGAGAGGGAAGGAGAGGGTGGAATGAACTGAGAGAGTAGCACTGAAACATACACATTACCGTATGTAAAATTAGATAGCCAGTGGAAATTTGCTGAATGACACGGGGGACTCAAATCCAGTGCTCTGTGATAACCTAGAAGGGTAGGGTGGTATGGGAGGTGGAGGAAGGTTCACGAGGGAGGGGACATTTATATAGGCCTATAGCTGATTCATGTTGATATATGGCAGAAACCAACACAATATTATAAAGCAATTGTTGCCCAATTAAAAGTAGATAAATTAAAAAGCTATATGAATGAGTGAATATGGCCATGTTCCAATAAAACTTTATGGATACTGACATTTGAATGTCATAAAATTTTCATGTGTCACAAAAATTACTTTTTTTCCCTCCTAGCAGTTTGAAAATGCTGAAACAGTTCTCAGCCAGTTTTGACCCATGGGCCATAGTTTGCTGACTGTGTCACAAAGCCGTGCTCCTTAGAGATAACTCATGCTTATAATCACCACCCTGCCACTTACCTCCTAGTTTCCCAAACTTTTGGAATTGATTAAAAGCCATCAAAAATCTGGCTCTGTGTTTTAAGATCCTTTAGCTTTCTGCATAAAACTTGAGGTCATTGAGGCTGTTTCCCTGGTCTCTTTTTTTTCAGCCCTGTAGAATCAGCTGTTCCTTCCTCTCTATTATATTCTTCCCTAGTTTCTGTGGAATCCTCCTTTGATTATCTCTTTCTCTTCTTACTCTCTTGGTATCCTGGTTAAAACTCTTGCACTCAGAGTTGTGGTGTTTTAACTGGTCATGCACTGCAACAGTCTAATTTTCTGCTGCCAGATTAAAATTCTGAAAATGTTTCTTCTTTGCTAAAATTCTCTAATACCAGTTTTTGTCTATGTAACCAAGAAAAACTCCTTAGTTAGGCTTTGAGGAGTTGCTACAATATGACCTTAGCCTGCCTTCAGTTTTCTACTACTTTCTAATGCCTTCAGGCAAACTGTTTCATTCTTTTCTCCTTTGTTACCACGTTCCTTCTACCTTCATTGTCCCCCTTACCATCTCTTTCTACAATATCCTCCATCCTTCAAGGTCTTCCTGAAAGGAAGCCTTGTGTATGACTTGGTATAATATGTCCTTCTGCATTCTTGTACTTCTTTAATGGCGCTAGGAGTCAGCCAGTGCAAGAGACACAGGTTCAATTCCTGGGTCAGGAAGACCCCCTGGAAAAGGAGGTGGCCAACCCACTCCAATATTTTTGCCTGGGAAATCCATGGACAGAAGAGGCTGGTGGGCTACAGTCCCACCAGAGTGGGGTCACAAGAGTCCAACAGGACTGAGCGCGCGCGCGCGCGCACACACACACACACACACACACACACACACAGTATCAGCCTTAAGGTTATAGCTGTTTATGCATTATCTCGTTTCTCTACTTAGTTATATGTGGCTTGAGAGGAATGACGCTGTCAAAGGTGACACTTTTTTGTCACCTGAAATACCTAGCATGGTGATAATAAGTTGTTGTATTGAATCTTCAAATGGTGGGAGCGTGTTGGGATGTGAAGAATCAGTTATCTTTAGATTCTTTTATTGTTCACTGGAAGATCTTTAGGGAATTATCTCATGACAGTTCTAGAAGAAATATAAAGAACCTAAGACCAAAGGCTGAGACATTTTGTGAAAGCTAGTTATACAGTCTTAGGAATCTAATCCCCCCTTCCCAGATCCCATTTTCCTGTCAACCTTAGGAGACAGAGATTATCTTCATTTTTCAGATGAAGAAACTGAAACCTTAAAAGTTCATATACTTTGTAAGTAATGGCAGGCCAAGTGACAATAAGAAGAAATATTAAAAAATAAAAGTTTAAAAGGAAAAACAAATAGTGATTGTGTTTATGTGATAGGATTTTAGGTAGTTTCCTTTATACTTTTGTGTCTTTTCTAACGTATGTGTGTGTACATATGTATATGTATTTTTTTCACATTTACTTAGCTTTAAATATAACTCCATGGTCTTTATTTATTTATTTTCCATTTTGCATGATCTTTCATTCTATTACAGGTCTCCACTCCATGGCTCTTCACTGGACCGTGGTGTCTGGTTATGCTCTATGATACTCTCTATTCCTAACCTCCTATGCTTCCAGCTTATTTTTTCAATTATTCCCATGCATTGTCTTTTTTAAAAAATTTTTTACCATATTGGGACCTCTCTGTACCATTGATTTTTTTCTACTAAAATCCTCTGACCCCTACTGTCTTATCTCCAGGCCTCACCTATCTTTACTCCCTACCTGATGAGTTTAAATAACCATCACTTATTTCCTCAGCTTTATTTTTCTACTTTCTCAACTATCTGAGCTCCCTTCCCTTTCATGCTGTTGAGTGGGCCTTGCTTCTGAACTCAAAAAGGGGATGCTGAAGCTATCAGGTAGTGACTCTCTCCACCTGCTGACCCTACATTTACGGAGCTTTTCTGAATCCATACTGGTCCTTTTCCTCCTTCATTTCTGTGATGGTGGAAGAGCTCACCCTCCTGCTTTTTAGGGCGAGACATTCCACCACTACCCTGGCTCCCAGGGACCTTGATTCATCCCATCTCTTCCCTGCATTAATGTGTTTAATAAACACTGAATAATTTTATAAACAGAAGAAAATTAGTAACAAAAATTTTTCTGGGTAAGAGTATGGGATTTTGTATTTGAAGATTCTAAACCTAATTGTTATAGAGAATGCTAATTATCCTGGAAAATGTCAGTGTTTAGTCTTATAATGAGTTCACCTACCCTGAATGTATTTTATAGAGTATGAAATGTTGCAGTGTTTCTTAATAACAATAAGTCTGTCTATTTGGTTGAAGTGTGTTTTCTTTGATAGATGTTTCCTTTATTTACTCTTCAGATTTATATTTGACTTAAGAAAATTTTTTTTTACTATAATTTGAACTTTTTCCCCCCTTTTTTCATAGTTGGAGAATACCTTCAAATCAGTTATTGCACAGATTGGACCTGGAGGGACTATTAATCCAGAACTAAAACATAAGATAAAATTTGTAAGTATTTTTTGTTTTGGGGAAATGGATGGGAATAATTGATTATGCATTTAGATATCATTTATGGTTAATTTTACTTGCTTACAAGTATTTTAGCTTTATATTTATTCTTGATCTTTTCATATATACTGCAAGTGGAGTGGCTAATCTTTTAAGATCAGAAAAAATGAATTAATTAAAAGTGTTAATGTAATTATTAAGAAACTGTAATTCCTCCATAAATTCTCTTTTCTTCCCCTTAAATCATTGGTCACAGTTCAAGGTCTTTCCAATACCAATTTTATATGTATGTATGTCAAATACTATTCTAATAGTGCATGGTATCCCATTGTGTTGATATACCATATTTCACTTGTATGATCTGTTATCAGTTAACAATTGGGGTTATTTCTAGTCTTGGCTATTAAAAAATGCTGTAGTTAATGTCCTTGAACATTTACCTAGAAGTAGAGTTGCCAAAGGTATTGAATATTTTAGGTTTTGATAAATATTGCTAAATTGCCCTCTAAGAGGTTGATCAAATTTACATTCCCACTGACAGTGAAATGACACTATCTAATCATCTTGTTTCAACTTAATACCTCTTGATTTTTACATTGAGCATCTTTTTGTGTGCTTCATAGCCATTTATATTTCTTATGTGTATTGCCTGTTCATGTCCTTGGCCTAATTCATTGTTTTTCCTTATTAGTTTGTGAAAACTCTTTAGCAGTTTTCTACTGGGCCAAAGGGTATGTAAACTTAAAATTTTGGTGTGTGTGTTGCTCAGTCATGCCTGACTCTTGTGACCCCATAGACTGTAGCCCACCAGGCTCCTCTGTCCATGGGATTCTCCAGGCAAGGATACTGGAGTGGGTTGCCATTTCCTGCTCCAGGGGATTTTTCCAACCCAAGAATGGAACCCGGGTCTCCTGCATTGCAGGTGGACTCTTTACCAACTAAGCTATGAGGGAAGCCCAAAATTTTGGTGAGAGCTATTAATTCTGATTTGAATGGTCAGAGCATCATTACAGCTTTTACTGCCTTATTATATTCTGTTTCAGCTGTGGTGGTTTTATTAGAAATGCAAAAACCTTGGTGCATTCAGGCCCTGTTGTTTTGTTTGGACATTTGACTAAGTGTCCAACAATTTATTTAAGGATGTCCAATATGGCTTTTTTTATGGTAACAAAAAATTAGACAAAAGTTAAGTGTTCATTGAAAAAGGATTGCTTAAAATATCCACTCAACTAGGGAGTACCATTCAGCTCATAAAGTTTATATATTATCTTGATTAATTTACAGAGAAATATCTTCTTGACATATTGTTAGACATGAAAAACGGGGTTTATAGAATAACATGTTTAGTGTTGTCTTTCCATGTAAAATCATGAATGATATGAGTGTGTGTGGGCATAGAAAGGTTTCTGAAAGGATGTTTTCTGAAGTGCAACAAATAACTGTCTCTGGGTCACAGGATTTTGAAATAATTTTTACTTTATATTTTTCTGAAGCTTGAGTTGGAATTTTTAATAAGATATATAGTATCTGGAAAAGTCTAGGAAAACATAAAGCTTTTTATACCTTACTGGGATAGAATAGGAGAAGGAAATGGCAACCCACTCCAGTACTCTTGCTTGGAAAATTCCATGGATGGAGGAGCCTGGTAGGCTACAGTCCAGGGGTTACAAAGAGTCGGACACGACTAGTGACTTTCCTTTATAAGTCCACTCCTAGGAATTTATACTAAAAATATTTGTTAAAGTGTGCAGAATGCAAATATGAAGATAATTATGTGATATTTGTGATGATGAAAAATAGGAAATAACCATAAATAATTAAATAAATTTAATTATATTGAATATTTGAAAAAACTTTAGCTAGTGATGCCAGAAGCTCAGCCTCTGTACACTGGTGCCAAATCTCAGACAGAGTTTTGGGTGAAGTAGAAAAGAACAGCTTTATGGCTTTTCCAGGCAAAGGGAGACAGTGTAGGCTTTTGCCTTGGAAACTATGTGTCCCAACCGAGGGAGTTTGGTGAGGAGTTTTAAGGCAGTGCTTCAAGGGTGGGGTTACTGATAAGATAGGGGTGTGTGAAGGTCCTGCTGTTCCTTTAATCATGGGTAATCTTCTTAATGAGCTTCTCTAGTTCTTTTAGTCTGGCTTCAGCTGGAATCAAGATTGCGGGGAGAAATATCAATAACCTCAGATATGCAGATGACACCACCCTTATGGCAGAGAGTGAAGAGGAACTAAAAAGCCTCTTGATGAAAGTGAAAGAGGAGAGTGAAAAAGTTGGCTTAAAGCTTAACATTCAGAAAACTAAGATCATGGCATCGGGTCCCATCACCTCATGGGAAATAGATGGGGAGCCAGTGGAAACAGTGTCAGACTTTACTTGTCAGACTTTATTTTTGGGGGCTCCAAAATCACCGCCGATGGTGACTGCAGCCATGAAATTAAAAGACGCTTACTCCTTGGAAGGAAAGTTATGACCAACCTAGATAGCATATTTAAAAGCAGAGAATTACTTTGCCAACAAAAGGTCTGTCTGGTCAAGGCTATGGTTTTTCCAGTGGTCATGTATGGATGTGAGAGTTGGATGTGAAGAAAGCTGAGTGCTGAAAAATTGATGCTTTTGAACTTTGGTGTTGGAGAAGACTCTTGACAGTCCCTTGGACTGCAAGGAGATCCAACCAGTCCATCCTAAAGGAGGTCATTCCTGGGTGTTCATTGGAAGGACTGATGCTGAAGCTGAAACTCCAATACTTTGGCCATCTCATGCGAAGAGTTGACTCATTGGAAAGACCCTGATGCTGGGAGGGATTGGGGGCAGGAAGAGAAGGGGATGACAGAGGATGAGATGACTGGATGGCATCACCGACTCAATGGGCATGAGTTTGAGTAAACTCCGGGAGTTGGTGATGGACAGGGAGGCCTGGCATGCTGTGATACATGGGGTCGCAAAGAGTCAGACACGACCGAGTGACTGAACTGAACAGGTGGTCTTTCCTGGTGTGAAGAATGCTGACACCTTCTGTTTATTGAATTTTAATTCTCAGGTCAGTTCAGTTGCTCAGTCATAGTCGACTCTGTGCAACCCCATGGACTGCAGCACACCAGGCCTCCCTGTCCCATCACCAGCTCCCGGAGTTTACCCAAACTGATGTCCATTGAGTCAGTGATGCCTTCCAACCAGCTCATCCTCTGTTGTCCCCTTCTCCTCCTGCCTTCAGTCTTTCCCAGCATCAGGGTCTTTTCCAACGCATCAGTTCTTCGCATCAGGTGGCCAAACTATTGGAGCTTCAGCTTCAGCATCAGTCCTTACAGTGAATATTCAGGACTGATTTCCTTTAGGATTGACTGGTTGGATCTCCTTGCAGTTCAAGGGACTCTCAAGAGTCTTCTCCAACACCATAGTTCAAAAGCATCAATTCTTCGGCTTTCTTTATAGTCCAACTCTCACATCCATACATGACTACTGGAAAAACCATAACTTTGACTAGATGGACCTTTGTTGGCAAAGTGTAATGTCTCTGCTTTTTAATATGCTGTCTAGGTTGGTCATCACTTTTCTTCCAAGGAGTAAGCGTGTTTTAATTTCATGGCTGCAGTCACCATCTGCAGTGATTTTGAAACCCAAAAAAACAAAGTCTGTTGCTGTTTCCACTGTTTGCCCATATATTTGCCATGAAGTGATGGGACCAGATGCCATGATCTTAGTTTTCTGAAGTTGAGTTTCAACCCAACTTTTTTACTCTCCTCTTTCAGTTTCATCAAGAGGCTCTCTAGTTCTTCTTCACTTTCTGCCATAAGGGTGGTGTCATCTGCGTATCTGAGGATATTGATATTTCTCCTGGCAATCTTGATTCCAGCTTGTGCTTCCTCCAGCACAGTGTTTCTCATGATGTACTCTACATATAAGTTAAATAAGCAAGGTGACAGTATACAGCCTTGACGTACTCCTTTTCCCTATTTGGAACCAGTCTGTTGTTCCATGTCCAGTTCTAACTGTTGCTTCCTGACCTGCATACAGGTTTCTCAGGAGTCAGGCCAGGTGGTCTGGTATTCCCATCTCTTTCAGAATTTTCCACAGTTTGTTGTGATCCACACAGTCAAAGGCTTTGGCATAGTCAACAAAGCAGAAATAGAGTTTTAATTCTATAAAGAGCTTAAAGACATTGTTATGTATATCCTTGAGAAGGAACCAGGACCCTGTTTCAAGGCAGCACTATTGTTTCTTGACTGCTCCTCCCTTGACTCTTCATCTACCTTGTCCCTTCCTGGATTGACAACTGTTCAGATTTGTTCTTTGGAACTTGGGGAGGGTCATGGAGGCTGGTGTCTGTTCCCTACGAGAAATGGGGGACATGGAAAGACTTCTGTGCCCAAGAGCCCCACAGTCTCCCATTCAGTTTCACTAGTAAACATGTTGATCCATATTTACTGGTATGGAAAGAGGTCTCTGTGATGATATTAAAAATCTAGAGACGCAATGACCTTATTTTCATATTAAAGATATTTTTATGTGCATATGGCCAACAGTGGCCAGTATCTTTGCTTAACTGTGTTTTCCAGTGTTTTTTATAGTGTGCATTGTATTTCTTCTCTGCCCTTTAAAATGCTTGAAATTATGCCATAGAATATTTATTTTACGTGAGTTAAAGCTAAATATCTTAGCTGAGCTAAAGAACTCAGGAATTTCTGAGGAGTTGTGGCACTGCTGTTTTATGCAGGAGTGATTTCTCAACTCTGGAAATGTTGGAATTCACTGCCATTTTTGGTTGTTACAACTTTTTTAAAACTAGAAGCTAAGTTTTAAAAATTACTCTGACTTTTAATTCATTCACTTAATAGTAATGTTATTTTTGTCTTTGTTGCTATGTAAATTTATACTTTCTTATTTTGATATTTTGTCACCCAGCATTCCCATTGTATCTATTTATATTGCATTTCACTTTTTATTTATTAGGTTGTATCCAAGTTTCCAGAGGGTTTGCTTATTTCTAAACTGCTAAGAGAGTTTGAGGTGAGTGTTCTCTCTTGCATCAACCACGGTTTTTTATGGCTTGCATATGTTTCTCATGCTTGATGAAAATTTTGTTGCTACTCCTTGGATCCTCCAAATCTGTGCTCTAGAACTTAAACATTTTGTTTTGCATTTTGGTAGCTGCTTTTTTACTCAAAGAGTTAATGTGATTTTTAATAAATACTTGATTATGCATGGAAAAAATATTTTTGCCACTATTGTTATATAATTAGAATGAAAGTTAATTTGTTTCTCTTGTTTGATAATACCAAGTGTCAGTGGGAATATGGAGAAGCAGAATACCTCATATGCTGCTTGTGGGACAAAATCTCTTTGATGAGCTTTTGGCAATATGGCTTTACTTGACAGAATGTACCCCTGATAATTCTGGAGTTCCACCTGTATAGATGTATTTTAGAGAAACTCTTAAACATGTGCACATGAAGACATACATATGACACGTACTTTACAGCATGGTTAAAAACTGGGAATAAATTAACTGTCTATCAATAGGAGAATGGATAAATAAATTGAGATTGATACTTATACAGTGGAGTGATATGTAGTAGAAAAAATAAACAACCAAGATTTAGCTCACCCATGCAACATGGATCATTTTTGGAACCCATCATGTTAGGTGAAAAAAAATCACATTGCAGAATGATATTTCAGATACTGCCATATGCCTAATTTTTAAAAAAGGGTAGGTGTGGTGGGCTCTATTCAGAATGCCTTTCTTATAGTAGTCCATTTGTTTTCACAACAGACTGGGGCATAGAAAAGTAACTTGCCTACCAAACATGTAGCCTGTAATGAGAGGAGCCAGGATTTGAAATCCTGGCAGCCTAGCTTCAGACTTCAGTATCCTAACTCTTAACTACTATACCATAAACATTATCATATATTCGTACATATAAACAAGTTTGAGATACTATATAGCATAATGATTGATAGATCAACTCTATGTGCTATTTTACAGATGATGTGTATAATGTTATATCTACTTGATAAAGTTTTGTGAAGTTTAAATGGCTTAAAATAATTAGAACGGTGCCTGCCACATAGTAATTGTTTGGTAAATGTTAAAACTTTTAGTTTTAGTAGAAGAAAAAGAAGAAAACTTTTTTAGAAAAGATATATATCACCCCTCAGATAGTAATGCAGAAAATTTAATTTCATATTATGAATTAAAGCAATGACTCCTTTAAAGCCTCAAAGTTTATTTCAAATAGGCCCATGAGAGAAAGCTTAAGCTTAAACAGTCTTGATATCTTTTGGATTAACAAATCAAGTCACTTAATAATGAAATTACAGAATAAAGTGTAAAATAGAGTAGTAAAGTAATAGCATATGACTTAATTATTACAAAATTTATGGGTAAAAATAAACTTCCTATGCCAGGTTCACAACTCAAAGTGAATAGTTTCCCACCATGAATGTTTTAGCAAAAGTAGTTTCCTGTATTAAAGATTCATGGAGTTAAGGTTACAAGTCAATAATTTTGAGGAAATTAAAGCAAACCTTTTTTAAACAGGATTTTTTGTTTTAATTTTTATTTTATATTGGGGTATAGTTGATTAGCAATGTTGTGTTGATTTCAAGTGTGCAGCAAAGTGATTCAGTTATATATATGTATGTATCTGTTCTTTTTCAAATTCTTTTCCCATCTAGGTTATAAGAGAATATTGAGCAGAGTTTCCTGTGCTGTACAGTAGGTCCTTGTTGGTTATTTATTTTAAATACAGCAGTGTGTACAGGTCAATCCCAATCTCCCCATCTATCCCTCCCCCCACCCCAGTCACATGTTTTGCCCCTGGTAATCAGAAGTTTGTTCTCTAAGTTTGTGAGTCTGTAAAACAAAACCTTTTAATGTAACAGGAAAGCTCTTTGCCCTTCTTAGTAAACAAACTTTTGCAGAAATTCAACATTATTATTAAAAAAAATGATAAGTACAGATTTAATTTAATCTTTATTTTAACGTGTAGAATTACTAACCCTTTATCCAACATGATATAAAAGCTACCTTGTGATTTGTCCTCTTGAAATACTTGGACACCAGTCTGACATTCTTTCAAGATCTTTTGTTAAACTGCTAATTGAAGGAAAATAGTGCAGAGGCAGCATAGGTTTTGGATCTTCTTGAAGTGCCACCTATAGAGAGTGAGTGAGTGAAGTTGCTCAGTCGTATCTGACTCTGCGATCCCATGGACTGTAGCCTACCAGGCTCCTCCGTCCATGGAATTTTCCAGGCAAGAGTACTGAAGTGGGTTGCCATTTCCTTCTCCAGGGGATCTTCCCAATCCAGGGATCAAACCCAGGTCTCTCGCCTTGCAGGTAGACGCTTTACCATCTGAACCATCAGGGAAACCCATAGGGAGCTAGAAGCCACATAGAGAACTAGATGGCAAAACAGAAAATCCAAAGACAATATTTAAAACAAAATTAGATAATTTATCTCTGCAAATAATTGCTGGAGAGTAATCAGCAGCCGCCACAAAAGCCTCATGATATCAGTGTCTGTGCCCGGAGAAAACAGGAGCCCTAATGGACCTACGAGACAGAAGAACTACAAAATAGCCATCAGGTATTCACTTCTGGCCTGGAGAATTCCATGGATTGTATAGTCCAAGGGATTGCAAAGAGTCGGACACAACTAAGCGACTTTCACTTCACTTTACTTCATTCACTAGAATGTACAGCAAGCCATTTTGAAAACTATAACTGAAGCTGTATGACCTAATAGCAGAAAATGCTTCATAGTAAGAGTTGAATGGGGCTGGAGCACCATAGCTCCTGTGAATTCTTGAAACTGACCAGCCAGATCTCCCTTACAGACACTAATGAAAAATTGATCAGGATACGAACAGTAGAAAAAGAGAAGTCTTAGGTGTAAGTAGTATTAAGGGAAAAGAGCCAGGAAATTTCAAAATTAACCTACTATCTTTTTAAACAGTTTACAAAAACAGCAGGAGGAGGAGCTCTGTGAAGCAGAAAATAATCCAGAATGATGTCCTACAAGTCAGGAAAATGAATTTCACATAAAATATGCAGCAGAAGAGGATTTAGTCAAATTGCATTGTTGTTTGAATTAAAAAAGAGATGAAGTAACAGAATAGCATATCTACTGATAATAGGAACATGTCAGAAATACATGTGCCTAATACAGATACAAACTGAAACCTTTTTCAAAAATATAAAGTGATACAAAACATGAAAGAACAGCATAAATCTGAACTATACAAATTTGGGGAACAGTACTCAGGAAAGAATTATAAGTAAAAGAAAAAAAAATTTCAGAAATGAAGGCTAAACTTCAAAGATTACAAGAGCAAAAAATATAATAGCCAATGCCCTAAGAAAACCAGTAGTTAAAAATGAGGAACATTTTGGAAGTCAAAGGAAATGAGGGAGGCACTGGGTATCCAGGTCTGAAAGGCTCTGTCCACTGAGATTTTTGAAATCTAGTGAGAAACTTAGGCATGCAAATAAATTAAGGTAATATGTCTGAGTAGCCTACATTGGAACAATCCTGATGATAACTATTATAAATTCTAGACAAAATATACAAAATTACTCTCTGAAGGTACTAGAAATTGTTCAGAAGCAGGCAGAAACTGGAGAGGAGTCAGCCCCTAGAGAGGAGAGAATAGCACCTTTTTTATTTGCCTGGAGTTTGGCCCAGTGTCGGGCCCCATACATAGTTTGGAATTGATAACTGGATAGAAATCAAAAGTTTTACCTGCCTCTGATTTGGAGCTACATAAGGTGTTGGAGAAGACTCTTGAGAGTCCCTTGGACTGCAAGGAGATCCATCCAGTCCATTGTAAAGGAGATCAGCCCTGGGTGTTCATTCGAAGGACTGATGCTGAAGCTGAAGCTCCAATACTTTGGCCACCTCATGCGAAGAGTTGACTCATTGGAAAAGACCCTGATGCTGGGAGGGATTAAGGGCAGGAGGAGAAGGGGACGACAGAGGATGAGATGGCGGGATGGCATCACCGACTCAATGGACATGAGTTTGAGTAAACTCCAGGAGTTTGTGATGGACAGGGAGGCCTGGCGTGCTGCGATTCATGGGGTCGCAAAGAGTCAGACATGACGGAGCGACTGAACTGAACTGAACTGAAGCAGTTGAAAAATGGCAAAAGAAATCATTGCAACCCCATGGACTGTAACCCGCCAGACTTCTTTTTCCATGCTATTTCCCAGACAAGAATCCTGGAGTGGGTTGCCATTCTCTTCTTCAGGGAATCTTCCCCACCCAGGGATCAAACTCAGGTCTCCTGCATTGGAGGAAGATTCTTTACCATCTGAGCAACCAGGGAAGCCAAGCAGTTGGAAAATGTGGGAAGAAATTATAGGATAGAGAGGGAGCATCAAATTCTGCACGTAAATTCTGCTCAAATCTCTGACTGACTATTGAATTGCACATGCCTGGGGCAGACTCACAGAAGCCTAGTAAGGCTAAAAGAACTGAATCTCTTTCAGCTGTGGCTCATCACAGGGGGTCAGAATTTGAGTTTAAGGTTAGTCAGGTTAACTCCCTGCTAAAACTAAGCAAAAAGCAGTACTCTCAGAAGAATCGTAAAAGATCCCATAGTCTACAGCTTACCTATTACGATGTCCCAAATACAAACAAAATTACTGAATAAACAAGAAAATGTGACCCTTGGTGAAGAGAAAAAGTAATTGATGGAAACTGATCCTGAGATGATGCAGATGTTGAAGTTAGCAAAAAGGTTTTAAAGGAATCCTTAAAATCACATTAAAAAAGAGTATAATGCAATATGTATTCATTTTGAACAAATGGATAAGAAACCTCAGTGGAGAAAAAGAAACTGTAAAGCCAGATGATTTTATAGAGCTGAAAATAAAATATCTGAAGTAAATTCACTGCAGTATCTTAAGAACAAATTGGAAATGGCAGAAGAAAGCATCAGTGAACCCCAAGACAGATTGGTAGAAATGATTCATTCTGAAGAACAGAGAGAATAAATGAA